ACCCAGCTCCTAGATTTATTGACCCCTTCAATTGCTCTTTTAGTCTCTATGTCACTTAATCCTGCTATGATCTTGATTATTTCCTTCCTTCACCGTGCTCTGAGGTTTGTTTGTTGTTCTTCCTCTAGTTTTTGTAGATGAAGGATTAGGGTGTTTACTTGAAATGTTTCTCTCTTTTTTAGGTAGGCCGGTATTGCTATGAACTTCCCTCTTAGGACTGCCTTTGTGGTATCCCTTAGGTTTTGGACTGTTGTGTGTTCATTTTCATTTGTTTCCAGAAATTTTTTGATTTCTTCCTTGATCTCATTATCAATCTACTCATTGTTTAATAGGATGCTATTCAGTCTCCATGAATGTGAATGTCTTTGAGTACTTTCCCGTGAGGTTGGTTTCTAGCTTCAAGCATTTGCAGTCCGAGAAAATGCTTGATATGATTTGAGTTTTTTTGAATTTCTTGAGACATTTTTGCATTCTCACATGTGATCTATCTTTGAAAATGTTCCATATGCACTTAAAAAGAATGTGTATTTTTTTTATTTGGGATGAAAGATGTATATACGTGTGTGTACATGTGTGTGTGTATGTGTAATCAGTTAAGTCCGTTTGATCTGGTGTCATTCAGTGCCACAATATCATTGTTGACATTTTGTTTGGAAAATGTATCCATTGTTGACAGTGGGTGTTAAAAATCCCCTACAGAAAGTGTGTTGCTGTCTATATCTTTCTTGAAATCCTCCAAGATTTTCCTTATATATTTTGGTGCTCCTATGTTGGATGCATATATGTTTACAATGTTGATGTCTTCTTGATGAATCCTTCCCTTGAGTATTACGAAGTGTCCTTCTGTGCCTCTTTTATGGGCTTTGTTTTGAAGTCTATTTTGTCTGATACAAGTACTGCTACCACAGCTTTTTATTTTTCCTGTCCATTTGCTTAGAATATATTTTTCTAGCCTTTCATTTTATGTCTGTGTATGTATTTTGTTCTGAGGTGGGTCTCTTGTACAGCATATGTGCAGATCACGTTCTCTTATCCATTCAACTACGTTATGTCTTTTGGTTGGAGCATTTAATTCATTTATATTTAAGGTTATTATTGATAGGTACTTATTCATTGCCATTTTACCTCTTTGTACCTGCATTCCTCTCTCTCTCTTTTTCTCACTCTTTTTCTTCAACATCTTAAAGCTGTCCCTTTAGCATATCTTGCAATGCTAGTTTGGTGAAGATGTGTTCTTTTACCCTTCTTTTGCAGGGGAATTCCTTATTTCATCTTCCATTTTAATTGAGAGCCTTGCTGGTTAGAGAACTCTCATTCACAGGGCTTTGCTTTTCATTACTTGAAATATTTCTTGCCATCCCCTCCTGGCTTTTCATGTTTCTGTTGAGAAGTCAGCTGCTAGCTAGCCTTACCGGGGCTCCCTTCTATGTTACTTCCTATTTCTCCCTTGCTGCCTTTGAGATTCTCTCTTTGTCTTTGATATTTGCTTTTTTAATTATGATGTGTATTGGAGTGGGCCTCTTTGGGTTCCTCTTGATTGGGACCTCCTGTGCTTCCTGGACTTGTGTGCCTTTTTCTCCCCTCAAATTAGGGGTGTTTTCCATCATTAACTTTTCAAACAGGTTTTCTATCCCTTGCTCCTCTTCTTCTCTTTCTGGTATCCATATTATACAGATATTATTATGTTTCATGTTGTTCTTCAATTCCCTAAATCTGTCTTTATTCTTTTTGAGTCTTTTTTTCTTTTTCTTGCTCTTTCTGGGAATTTTTTTCTAACTTGTCCTCCATCTTGCTGATTTGATCCTCTGCTTCACCTAGTCAGTTCTTTATTCCTTCTACTGTGTTGTTCACTTTAGAAATTGTATTCTTCGTTTCCTCCTGGCTCTCATTGATAGTTTCTATGTCCTTTTTCATGCTGATGTTGTTCACAGTAAGTTCCTGGTAGCTTCCCTGCAGTTTTTGGTAATTCTCACAGAGCTCATTTAATTTCTTTTGACCATTGTTTTGAACTCAGTATCTGATCATTTACTTGCCTCTATTTCATTTAGCACTCTTTCTGAGGATTCTTCCTTTCCTTTCAATTGGGAGTTGTTTCTTTGTCTTCCCATTTTTGGGGAGACTCTTCTTGTTTGCTTCCGTTTCTTAAATTGATCGGTTTTGACTCTCTGTCTTTGTGGTGTCACCCTCTATGGTAGGAGTCTTGTGTAATTCAATAGAGTAGTCTCTTTGATCTCCTGAATTGATGCTCTTGGGATGCCCTTTCTGCTATTTCTGTTAGCTTTCTTGATATAATCAGGTTTTGATGTTGTTTTGTCATTCTTTGGTAGATACTTCCCACCAACTGGTTGACTGCTGGTCACTCCACCCACCATATCTTGTATGCTGCTCTGCAGGTGCTGCCAGAACAAAACCACAAAGCCCAGGAAACAAACCCATACCTACAAAAATAACTCACACCCCCAATCCTACTATCAACAGCCAATGAACCAGTATTAATAAGGACTTAAAGAGATTAAAGCTATTATAAGAAAGGAGAGGAAATATGAGATGACCTACTGAAAGAAAAATGATTTTGAGAGGGTAGATGGAGAAGTACTAATAAGAGCTGGGAATCAGAGCAATGTGAAGCAAGAAAGTAAAATTTACATCATAAATGAAAAAGGGAATGAAGAAGGCAGAATGGAGTAAGAGAAGGGAAACATATAGTATGAGGTTTAAACAGAAATTAAAATAAAGTAAGAGAGAGAAAGAAAAATATTTATTAAGTATTTTAATACTTAATAAATAAATACTTAATAAATAAATACTTAAAAAATATGAAAAAAATTGGAAAGAAAGATCCACCACAGCACTATCAACAACAAATGACCTGATCCAAGATGGGGGAGGAGTGAGTGGAAGTTACATTAAACTCCTCCCAGGACCAATCTGGAATTACAACTAAATTGTGGAGAAGTCTTCCAGAACAAAAAACTGAACAATAGAGTGAAAGAAGCCTTATAACCACAGACAGAAGAATCAGCTTCAGCACAATGTGACTGTTAGGGAGTGCAGTGGAGACATGAGAGCTGGCTGGGCACCCACAGGTGGCAGCTGAAGCACCAGAGGGATATTTAAGCAGCTGGTTAGATCCCCCCAAGAAGCGTGGGGTCTAAACCCTAAGCTGGAATTCCCAGACTAGAGCACCAGAGCCTAAAATGTACCCAGATAAAATCCAACTGCAAAAAGTAGCAGGGTTGCTCTCTGGAGACTCAAAGAGCCATTTAAAGGTCAAACGCATAAATTTTCATTTGCAGGTGCTTATCCTGGACTCTGGCAAAGATGGGAACAGAGTGGGCTAGAGACACCTGAGGAGAGACTGGGAACAGAGGCTTTCAGGAGAGAACTGAGAGTATAGTCTCAGGGATCCTGGTGCTGAGTCATCCCCCATAAAGCAGCAGCCATCTTGCTCTGGCAGACCACTCCCCTCTGAGGGGCAGCAGCCTGAGGGGAAACAATAGCCCCCACTCCAGGAAGGATTCTGCACTGCCTTGTGGTGCTTAGGCCTGACTGCTGAGTGCAGAGTGACTACATTAAGAACTAAAGGAGACAGCCACAGACAGTAGAGCTCTGTTAGTCTGCCTAATAGGCTGCCTAAGGTCAGAGAGTGTCAGCATCTGACATTGCCAGAGGTGGATCCAGAAAGAAGAAACAGTTGTAAACACTAGCTGCTACTGAGATGAAATCCACCATGGTCTTCTCCATAATTTGTGGTGTTTTGTTTCCTGCATAGTTTTTTAACATTCACTTCTTATCCTTCAAGTTTGTTCATATTAAGTCACTAGATTTATAATATATTTCCATTCACATATTTTGCCCCTCCCTTCTCTTACCTCATTTTACTTTCTTCTTTCCTCTTGTTATTTTCATTTTAAATTTTGTTTTCTGTCTTGCTACAACTTGTTTCCATTCACTTATTCTCCCCATCTAGCCTCTCAAAACCAATTTTCTTGTCAGTGGTCATCTCACATTCTTTTTCCCACTCTTAAAATACTCGTGTCCTCACTCTGCCTTTAGCAATCTTTGCTCATTGGTTGTGGATAGGGTAGTTGTTGAATTTTCTTTTTATTTTTATCTCTAGATCTTCATTAATTTTCGATTTCAAATATCAAATTTTACTGTTCCCTTCTTTTACTCTTTTTTTCATCTCAAATTTTAATTTTTCCCTCTTACTGTTTTCTGTTTTTCTTTTTTTCTCTCTAATCCTGCCCTTTTTTTATTTTTCTTTTCTTTTTCTTTTTTCTTTATCTTTTCATCTCAATTTTTTGTCCCTCTCTTAGCCTGGTTTTCATTCCTCACTCTTAGTATTTCCTTTCCCCCTATCATCTCAAAATCACTTCCCTTTCCTCTAGACATCTCTTAAACTTTTCTTTCTTTTTTCCATTTTATTCCCATTTCACCCATATTAATTTTAGCTCAGACATCTTGTTTAACTGACTGTATGTATATGATACCAAACTTGATTAAAAATCTATTACAGTAATCAATTAGTGGTTGGCATCAGTCAGCATGTTTTTTACAATTCTATTTTTTACTTGCATATCTGCAGAATGTTAGAACCTCTGAAAATATGACATTTCAATGCTCATGTACACACAAATATTACACTGGAAGAATTGTTAGAACGTCAAATTGAGTATAACAGTAAGTGTCATAGACATCATGTGACACTACCACTAAGTTTGTCAATATTGGTGTCACACCAAAAGACCCAGTGTAAACTGAGAAGAAATAATTTACTTATTTTTTACAGCTCAAAAGGACAACTGTTAGTAACAACCTTGATGCTTAAGGGCTATCAGCCTTGAATAAATATTTTAAAATAGCACCAGAAGTAGACTTATCTTTACCATAAGCTGCTTAGTTTCCAGGCATTGGTTCTCCTCTATCCTTCTTCCCTCCCACCCATTTTTGGGAGTATTAAAATGTCACATTATTATAGAAATGGTTATTGAACTCACGGATCATTAGACTTTGGAATAAGAGTACCAAGCTCCTTGATTCGGTAATTAATATTATACCTTCTTCTTCTTTCAACTATTAAAAAAAGAAATATTTATTATTTTCATTAAAGTACAATTCACTTTGGAATAGATCTAAACTTTTTTAATAGTTTTTAAAGAACAACAACAAAATTCATTTAATCAAAAAAGTGTTTCTCAAAAATATAATAAAAATTCAAATATTTTATTCTAAAAATAAAAATAACAATATTATAATTATTATTCTATTACAATGTTTTAAAAATATTTTCTTCTGAAAACATGTTTTTCAGTCTTAAAAATGCTATATAATAGTTACTAATACTGAAAAAATATATATATGCATTTTGTCAGTCCATAAGGATTATGAACCTTTGAGGTTTTTTCTTATATACAGCCTTCAACACCTAACACAAAGCCTGGCATATAGTAGGTATGTATACCCAACTAGACTATGACATTCTTGAGGGAATGAACCATTTCTTCCTCATTTTTGTATCCTCAGATGGCTTGGCGTATAGGAGAAGCTAAATAAATATATGTTGATTAGCCTGCAAATATATTCTTTTAAACTTTTCAATTATATATAGAACAGTGGTTTTCAGACTTTGGTGTACATCAGACATGCCTGGAAGGATCATTAGGACATATTTGTGCCCAACTAGTAGAGATTTTTATTTTAGTAGGTCTGGGTCAGGGCCCCAAAATTTGCATTTATAACAAGCTTACAGGTGATTCTGATACTATTTGGCTAGGACCCACACTTTGACAAGATTGTTTTCTCTGTTTGCATTTTCATGCATTCCTGGCTTATATAAATTTAGTGCATTAATAAATGTTCAATAAATGTCATATACAAATAAGTAGAGTTTCCTATATTGACCTCTTTTAAGAGCAGTCATAGAGCATACAATAGTCATATAGTCTAGTCTATATTGCTTGTTTCAAGAACCACAATATATAAAATATTTTAAAAGATATCATTTTTAAAGCTCTCTAGGGAATTAAATAAAGAACAAGTTCATGAATAAAAAGAAAATTATATATCAAAAGTATTGGAAAATACTTAAACAAAATGTACTTGAAAATTAAGATCACTGCCAGAAAGAAGGAAAGTCATGAAAGACAATCAATGATCTTGGTGAACCTACTCTACATGAATGAATTTTACCTTCAGGTATAATACACTGGAATTCCTTTGAAATTAAAATACAATTTATTCTTAATGAGAGTTTATTTTCCTTCTTTATCAATTCTATTTTCCCTGTGCAGGTGATTCAAAAACATGACACCACATTTTTAAAAAACTGAAAAGAAAATAAACAAAAGTAAAGCTGATAGAAATACATATGTATTTCACAGTAAGAATGTATTAATAATTCTATGTTCATACATACTCACTCTTATATTATAAAACTGACTTTTAAATATAAAATGAGACCCTGGCCAGGTAGCACAGTTAGAGCATCATCCCAATATGCCAAGATTGTAGGTTCACTCTTAAGTGAAAGCACATACAAGAAGCAACCAATAAATTCATAAATAAGTGGAACAAGAAACTGATCAATCTCTCTCTCTCCCCCCCACCTTCTAAAAATCAATAAATTAAAAATTAAATATAAAATGACAAACAGCTATGGAGGATGTTCAAAAATTTATCTCAAAATAGGGGGTTGTGTTAGTCTTATAAATATTTCCCTAAAATCTATTATTTAAATGCATCTCATGTAAAATATCAGGAGTTTCTACTCTACTCTTCTTAGATTGTGTTTGATGCATGTTTAATGGCTAATTATAATGAGAACTATGGTTTCTCAATGTTTTCATATCTAGCACTAAAGAAGTCAAGTTTTAAAAATTAGAAGATCACTTCATGACACGTGTGATTTTACTATTCACAAAGTTGTTGATATATTCAATCACTTCAGCCCTTAGATCCAGGCAAGAGGAGCCCCCCTATCCAGGACCCCACACTTAAAAGGAACCAGCTTTGACTTCTCTCATCATAACCATCCCCATTGAGCAAAGCAGCCACAGAGCCAAGCTAATCCCTTCTAAAATACACACTGGGTTCTTCACATGAGGAATATCCTCTCAAACACACTGAGCCTACTTCCAGATCCTGTGCAGGCCATTTCCCAGGTTCATCTTTCTGAGGGAAGATTGTAACACCAGTGTGCCCACCCTTAGGCCCAAGATATGGACAAGAAGCAACTGTTTGTTGAGTTGTGTATGGAGCTTGAATGTACTGGACGAAGTGCTCATACTCATACCTGAAACCACTGGCAACAAGAATGAAATATGGGGTGAAAAGACAACTGAGATGGGCTGGCATTGCCCCACTCTGACATTCCCACTCAGAACTCCAAGGATCTGAGAATTCTAAATTCACACCTGGCCTTCCATTCCGTAGGAAGGATAGAGTATACTGATTTTATAGCTTGAGTTATAACTTTTAAATATTTAGACGTCTGGTAAATGGGACTTCACTGTCTTCTTGCCATGATCTTCACAAAATTTAGGGATTATTCTAGCCTCATCATATTTAAAATGTGATATTAACTGTTTAACCATAATGTCTCCAAAAAGCAAGATCACTCAGTAAGGGAACCCAGATTAGAAAACCCTTCAATAATGCACATATTAAGCACCTGTCATACTTCATCTTAAATAACCTGTTGTTTAAGACACAGACATAGAAGAGAAAAGAAACAAGGAGAGTAATAATTAGTAGGCTAAAACTAAAAGAGAAGCCCATAGATCCTTAATGTATTAATTATTTCTTTTTTTATTGTTTTAATTACAGCTGTCCCTATTTTCCCCCCATTTCTCTCCCCTGTCCTACCCACCCCACCTCCCACATTTAATCCTCCCCACAATTGTCTTTGTCCATGGGTCCTTTATACCTGTTCCTTATGACTCTTCCTTATCTTTCCCCCATTACCCCCCTTTCCCTCCTTTCTGGTTACTGTTAGTTTGTTCTTTATTTCCATTTCTCTGGTTTTATTTGGCTTCCTTGGTTGGTTGTTTGTTTGTTTGTTTGTTTGTTTTCATTACGTTTTACTTATAGGTGAGATCATATGGTATTTGTCTTTCACTGCCTGGTTTATTTCATTTAGCATAATGCTCTCCAGATCCATCCACACTATTGCGAAGGGTAGGATTTCCATCTTTCTTACTGCTGCACAGCATTATTCTTTCTATCAATAATTCCCTCTCCATACTCATGTTCTATTTATAATCTGGACCAAAGCTTCTCAGCTCTACCACCAACGACAATCAGAATTAGATCTTTTCCCTCTCCACAACTACCTTCAGGACTGTTATTACCTCATGTCAGCTATTTCCTCAGAGTCACAAAGGAAACTGTGATTATTCTGCGACATAAGCAGGTGCATATGAACCGACAGATAAAGTTTTTGCAGGTACAGGTAGAATCCATTTCAGCTAATTAAATGTGAGGAAATAGTTGGTTTATTTTAAAGCAATAAATTTTTTATTTTGTTTTATTCTTTTCTCGTACTTTGATTTGGCTCCCAGAACGAATAAGCTTCACACTCAATTAGTCAAGTTCACTTGAGAGAGCTAAGCACTTGAGACATGAACAAAGACTATGAAGCTCAAGATTCCTGCTAAACAACTTCCTTTGCCCATATTTCTTAATCTCATGTGACCTGTTTTCAGAGTTAAACTGGCCCCTTGGAAGTCATCAGAGTCATTGTTTTTGCACAGGTGGAATTCAGCAATCACTTATAAGCAATACCTTTCAGATAATTTATGAGGGAAGATAGAGCAGATTAACAGAAAGATAAGAACCTGGAATTATGTTTCCGGCTATTTAAGTGGTGTATAATTTCTAAAGTTACTTTAAACATTTGACTGAATGAATCAAAATAGAGTTCAAGTGTAACTAAATGAACTCATCTTCATCACATGCAGCATTCTTGAGAGAGACTAACAAAGGAGAGAATTTGAGTTTTGCTTCATAAAAGTGTATCGCTTTGTGAGATTTCACATCATTTAAATGTATCCAAGTAGCTCAACTAATGAGATGTATTATTGATCTTGGTCATCTGACCTCAAAATACTCATGGAGACACAATAAATTACAACACATTTTAATCTCCCTGAATTTCCTCTTATATTACTTTTGTTGGGAAAAAAAAGAAAAGAAATATACTCACTGAGGTTGTGGTTGTCCTTTTTTTGTCTTTCTTTTGCCAAAGCACGAGTATCAGTTTCTGATGAAAAGGAGGATAAAACAATTCTTAGTTCACTTTACACCCCTTTTATCAACCTAATTCGAGAATACTGAGAGAGAGAAGATGGCGGAGGAGTGAATGGGAGTCACGCTGACCTCCTCCCAAAATCAAACTGGAATTGAAACTAAATAATGGAGTAATCACCTGGAAAGCTGTGGAACGATAGTGGGAAAGGAGCCTTGGTACCGCGGACAGTGGATTCTACTCTTCACATCACAACGGGTGAGAAGTGCAGTTGAGACTGGAGAGGGTGGGCTGGGTGCCCACGGGCACTGGCACCAGAGGGACATTGAAACGGCCAGTTAGCTTCCCCCCAGAAGAACAGGGTGTGAATCATAAACAGGAACCCCTAAACTACAGCAGCTAAAGCCAAGAAAATACAGACAAAATGCAACCCCAAACAGCTTAGGGGCGCTCTCTGCCAGAGACAGGTGGCTGGGAATGCAAAGAGACATTTAAAGGGCAAACGCAAAAGTTGTAGTGGAAGCCACCCTCCTTGATCTCTGGGTAGAGGCGGCAGCAGGGTGGCCTGGTGCCTGAGAAAAGACTGGTGAGGAAAACTTTGTGAAGAGAACTGACACGGTGGCCATTGGAGCCCCGGTGATGGCACGCCTCCCACTCTGCAGCTACCATCTCGCTCAGGCATAAGGGAATCAGTTAACCTGCCTTTTGTGCGCTCCGCACACACCTTATACAAGTGTGGGCTGCGGGGCTGACTACAGACGCTGGGAGAGCCTTGAGGAGAGACTGAAGACAGAGGCGTTGGGGAAAGAAAGGGAGGAGGAACCGGGGAGTCCCGACTCCCTCACCGTCCTGTAGTCTCCATTGTGGGCTGGAAAGGCGCGACCTAAAAGAGGCAAAAGCAGGGCGCGCATGAACCAAACTGCCTGCGATTGAAATGCAGTCCTCACAGGGGGTGAGTCCTTGGACCAAGGGGTCACAGAACTGCCCAGAGATCCCTGAGGAGAGACTAGAAACTGAAGCGTTTGAGAAAGAATGGGAGGAGGAAACGGGGTGTCCCAACTCCTTCTCCTTGCCATAGTCTCCATTGTGCAGGAAGAGGCCACACCCCCAAAGAGCCAAAAGCTGAAAAGCACACATAGACACCCCCAAACACCAAGTGCAGGCGCGCACACTTGCGACGAGGGACCGGCGAAGGTTGGCGATCATGTGTGTGACCCGCGCGGGCTGACGAATGTTTGCACCCACCGGCAAGGCCTCCCACAGATTGGCGCCAATACGGCCTGCGAGGGAGTGCACACAGCGGCAAGGACAGGCATAAATTGACCCGCCAACCCGCGATTGCGGAGCGCCCCACAAAATTAGTAGAGCTGCCCAGAGTCCCTGGAGGAGAGACCAGAGACAGGATTAACTGGAGAGTCCTGGAGCTGACTTCCTCCCATTTCCACAGTCCCCATTTGGCAAGGGCAAGCAATGCACCCAAAGAGCCAAAAGCGGGGAAAACACACAATAGAAGACCCTAAACTAACCAGTGCCGCGGAGCTCGCCGGCCATGGGGGCCAGATGACTAGGCGAGGTCGCGAATAAGCCCCCTGGTCTGGGGCAAACACATGCGAGCCCAGGCAGGCGGGGGATCCTGCCGCGCCGGGAGTGCACTCAAGGAGCCCAGGTGACAGTGCAGAGAGATCCCAAAAAATAGCCCAGCCCTGACAGAAGGGGTCACAGAGCTGCTTCAAGCAGGAGTCAGACACAGACATTAGACTCCTGGAAGGCTCAAACAACCCAAGGCTATATAGGGTCAACAACTGACATCATCAGAGGCAGGCCCAGAAAGAAAAGTATAGGACAAAAATACTTAACAGACTCTCACAAAAATGGGAAGAAAAAGAAGTTCCCCTAAAATCAGTGGAAAAGGGGACTCCCCACAGAGAGAGCTAAATGAAATAGAGCCAAGGGAACTATCAGATACTGAATTCAAAACAATGGCTCTAAGGAAGCTCCATGAGCTCAGCCAGTTCAAAGAGAACTATGAGAAACTGCAGAGAAACTATCAAGATCTTACAGCAAACTATATCAGCCTGGAAAAGGACATAGAAACTATCAAGAAGACACAAGAGGATATGAAGAATACCATTTCTGAATTGAAGAACACAGTAGAAGGAATCCAAAGCAGGCTGGATGAAGCCAAGGATCGAATCAGTGAGACGGAGAATAAGATAGAAAGAAGCTCCCAGAAAGAACAAGAAATGGAAAAACGGCTCATAAAGAATGAAGAGATATTTAGGGAAATGCAGGACAACCTGAAACGCAATAATATCCATATAATAGGGATACCAGCAGGAGAAGAAGAGGAGCAAGGCATAGAGAACCTCCTCGATAAAGTAATGATGGAAAACTTCAATAATTTGAGGAGAGAAAGGCTCTCATGGATTCAGGAGGCAAAGAGGACCCCACTCAAGAGGGACTCCAGGAGGTCCACTCCAAGACACATCATCATTAAAGTGGCAAATGTGAAAGACAAAGAGAGAATCCTCAAGGCAGCCAGGGAAAAGGAGAAAGTAACATACAAGGGGGTCCCGATACGGCTAGGAGCTGACTTCCCAACAGAAACACTACAAGCCAGAGGGGAATGGCAACACATATTCCAAGCCATGAAAAGCAAGGGCCTACAGCCAAGGCTGCTCTACCCAGCTAGGCTCTCCATTAAAATAGAAGGGGAAATACGGAGTTTCCCAGACAACAGAAGGCTAAAAGAATACATCTCTACCAAACCAGCACTCCAACATATGCTAAGGGGACTGGTTTAAGCAGATGAAGGAAAAGAATGAGAGAGAGAGGAACACAGGTACAAAGAGAAAAGATGAGCAAGTTTCGAACAGTTATATCTCTCAAGGTGAATGGACTAAATGTCCCAATCAAAAGACACAGGGTAACTGAATAGATAAGAAAACAGGACCCACACATATGCTGCCTACAAAAGACCCTCCTCAGAGCAAGAGACCTACACAGACTGAAAGTAAAGGGATGGAAAAAAATATCCAAGCAAATGGGCATGAGAAAAAGGACGGGGTTGCCATACTTATATCAGACAAAGTAGATTTCAAAACAAAGGCCATAAAGAGAGACCCATGGGGCACGTTATAATACTTAAAGGAAGAATCTATCAAGAAGACATCAACATTGTAAACTTATATGCTCCCAATATAGGAGCCCCCAAGTTTATAAGGAAATTGTTGGATGACTTCAAAAAAGATATAGACAGCAACACACTGATAGTAGGGGATTTTAACACCCCACTGTCAAAAATGGACAGATCTTCCAAACAAATCATTAATAAAAATATTGTGGCGCTGAATGACACACTGAATCAAAGAGACTTAACTGACATATATAGAACCTTACATCCCAAAGAAGAAAAATACATATTCTTTTCAAATGCTCATGGCAGTCTTTCAAAGATAGACCACATGATAGGACACAAAGCAAGCCTCAGCAAATTCAGGAAAATTGAAATAATACCAAACTTTTTCTCAGACCACAAGGCCTTGAAACTCGAAATCAACCTCAAAGAGAAACTTCAAAAACTTGCAAACTCATGGAGACTCAACAGTAGACTATTATACAATGAATGGGTCAATAATGAGATAAGAGAAGATATCAAAAACTTTCTGGAAACAAATGAAAATGAACAGACAACAGTCCAAAACCTATGTGACACAGCAAAGGCAGTCCTGAGAGGGAAGTTCATAGCAATACAGGCTTACCTAAAAAAGATAGAAACATTTCAAATAAAAGACCTAACACTACAACTTCAAGAACTGGAAAAACAACAACAAATAAATGCCAGAGCAAGTAGAAGGAAGGAAATAGTCAAGATTAGAGCAGAACTGAATGACATAGAGACAAAAGAACAATTCAGAGGATCAAGCAATCCAGAAGCTGGTTCTTTGAAAAGATAAATAAAATTGAAAAGCCTTTAAGCAGACTCATCAAGAAAAAAAGGGAGAGGACCCAAATTAATAATACCAGAAATGAAAGAGGAGAAATAACAACTGATACCACAGAAATACAAATGATCATCAGAAACTATTATGAAAAATTATATGCCAAGAAATTTGAAAATCTTGATGAAATGGACAAATTTTTAGAAAAGGATAATCTTCCAACATTGAAGGAGGAAGAAACAGAAAGCTTGAACAGACCGATAACAGCTGGGGAAATTGAAGCAGTCATCAAGAAAATCCCGGCACACAAAAGCCCACGGCCGGACGGATTCACAGGAGAATTTTACAAAACATTTAAGGAAGAGCTAACCCTTGTCCTTCTCAGACTATCCCAAAAAATCCAAAAGGAGGGAAGACTCCCAGACTCTTTCTATGTGGCCAGCACCACCCTGATCCCAAAACCAGATAAAGACCGTACAAAGAAAGAAAACTGCAGGCCAATTTTGCTGATGAACATAGATGCTAAAATCCTCAACAAAATATTGGCAAACTACATCCAGCAATACGTTAAAAAGATTATCCACCATCATCAGGTGGGATTCATCCCAGGCATGCAGGGATGGTTCAATATATGCAAATCAGTAAATGTGATACATCACATAAATAAAAGACAAAAACTACATGATCATCTCAATAGATGCAGAAAAAGCATTCGATAAGGTACAGCACCCATTTATGATCCAAACACTCAGCAAAATGGGAGTAAATTTGGCATTCCTCAACATAATAAAAGCCATATATGAAAAACCTACAGCCAATATCATACTCAACGGGCAAAATCTGAAAGCTTTCCCACTAAGATGGGGAACACGACAAGGATGTCCGCTTTTACCACTTCTTTTCAACATCGTATTGGAAGTCCTACCCACAGCGGTCAGACAAGAGAAAGAGATAAAACGCATCCAAATAGAAAGGAGAAAGTAAAGCTATCATTGTTTGCAGATGACATGATAGTGCACATAGAGACCCCTGTAGACTCTACCAAAAAACTCCTCAACCTAATAAGTGAATTTGGCAAAACAGCAGAATACAAAGTCAACAGTCAGAAATCAAAGGCATTTTTGTATACCAGCAATGCAATAGAATAAGAAAAATCAGAGAAAAAATACCATTCGATATAGCAAGAAGAAAAATAAAGTACCTAGGCATAAATTTAACCAAAGACGTAAAAGACCTGTACGTAGAAAACTATACAACTTTGAAGAAAGAAAGTAAGGAAGACACAAATAAATGGAAGCATATACCGTGCTCATGGATTGGAAGAATTAATATCCTCAAAATGTCCATACTGCCCAAAGCAATTTATAGATTCAACGCAATCCCTATTAAAATACCAATGACGTACTTCACAGAAATAGAACAGACATTTCAAAAATTTATACGGCATCATAAATGACCCCAAATAGCTGCAGCAATTTTGAGAAAGAGAAACAAAGTAGGAAGGATCGCAATACCGGACATCAAACTATATCACAAAACCATTATACTCTGGTAATGGCACAAGAACAGACCCATAGACCAGTGGAACAGAATAGAAAGCCCAGAAATAAGCCCAAGTCTATATGGGCAACTAATATTTGACAAAGGGGGCAGAAGCATAAAATGGAGCAATAATAGCCTCTTCAACAAATGGTGTTGGGAGAGCTGGACAGCTACATGCAAAAAATTGAAATTGGATCACCAGCTGACACCATACACAAAAATAAATTCAAGATGGATAAAAGACTTAAATATAAGTCACAACACCATCAAAGTCCTAGAGGAGAACATTGGCAGGAAACTCTCAGATATCCCACGCAGCAATTTTTTCACTAATATGTCTCCTAAAGCAAGGGATATAAAGGAAAGAATAAACAAGTGGGACCTCATCAAAATAAGAAGCTTCTGCACAGCAAAAGAAAACAGCAGCAAAATGAAAAGGGAGCCGACCCTATGGGAAAATATATTCGCTAATGATTCATCAGATAGAGGCTTGATCTCCAAGATATATAAAGAACGCACTCAACTCCACTCCAAAAAGACAAACGATCCAATCAAAAAATGGGCAAAGGACCTGGGGAGACACTTTTCCAAGGAGGAGATACAGAGGGCCCAGAGGCATTTGGAAGGATGCTCAGCATCACTAGCCATCAGAGAAATGCAGATCAAAACCACCATGAGGTACCACCTCACACCGGTCAGAATGGCCATCAGAAACAGATCCACAAACAACAGGTGCTGGCGAGGCTGTGGAGAAAAGGGAACCCTAGTCCACTGTTGGTGGGAATGCAGACTGGTGCAGCCACTGTGGAAAGCAGTGTGGAATTTCCTCAAAAAGCTGAAAATGGAACTGCCTTTTTATCTAGTGATTCCCCTGCTGGGACTATACCCTAAGAACACCAAAAGGCCAATACAAAAGAACCTATGCACCCCAATGTTCATAGCAGCACAATTTACAATAGCCAAGTGTTGGAAGCAACCTAAATGCCCATCAGTAGATGATTGGATCAAAGAGTGATGGTACATATACACAATGGAATACTATGCAGCAGAAAGAAAAAAAGAATTAATAAACTTCGCGACAGCATGGATGGAACTGGAGAGCATTATGGTAAGTGAAATAGGCCAGGGGGCAAAAGACAAATACCATATGATCTCACCTATAAGCGGAACCTAACCAACAATACAAAGATGCAAGGAAAATAAGACCAGCAACATTGAAAGGAAAAGAAATCAACAGAGACAAGGTGGGGGGGCAGGGAAAGGGAAGGGAAGGGGAAAGTCAGGGAAAATATAGCAAGGACTCATGGACAAAACCAAAGGGGAAGAGCTGAGGGAGGGAAGGAGGGAGGGGGCAAGGGAAAGTGGTGGGTGGGAGGCAGAGACAAATGTATTTAAATAAATAAATAAATAAATAAATAAATAAATGCTTAAAAAAAAAGAATACTAAGTGAAATACTATATTACTTGCCCCAAATGGTATAGGATTTTTATGTAAATATTCAGAAATTTGAAGAAAAGTACTCTTGAGTAAGAGGTAATGGCAATCCCTTCAGGCTTTGAATAGTAAAATTCGGATTTGTACTCTGGCCCTCCATTTAAAAACCCTCTGATATATTAGGTAAATCTTTGTGTCTCAATCTCTTCTGTAAAGTTGGTATAATATTGTGATGATTAAAAGAGGGACAGTGTACAGCAAATTTTAAACTGGTCAATTATTATTACTATTTTCAGAACTTTAAGATTATTCAAACCTAAATTTTATAACTTACTTTGTGTGTGTGTGTGTGTATGCACACACATATATAATCGTTACCTAAGGACATGCTTATTGGTTTTTTCAGAGACAGAAAAAATCATCAATGTGAGAGAAAACATCAGTTGGTTGCCTCATATATGCGCTCTGACCAGGAATGGAACCCCAAACCTAGATATGTGCCTTGCCCAGGAATCGAACCCATAAACTTTTTGTGTATGGGATGACACTCCCACCAATTAAGCCACCCAGCCAGAGCAACAACCTACATTTTTCATAATTAATTATCACTTACACCTTCTAGGACTTGGAACTAAGTACATTTCTTTGGTATTACTATTAAACAATTACATACTTCCAGTAAATGATACATTTTATGCTATTTGGTTGTGAGCATTTGTGATAGTCATCTTCTAACGTGGTCCACAATGATTTTTATTCATGATATTCACATACTTGGTAATTGAATAGGATGGACCTCTGAAACCAGTAGGATATTGTGTAAATGACTAGTGTGGCTTCCAAGAATAGAATATTGTGGAAATGGTTAGTGTGTCTTGGTATAAAATGTCATTTATACCAAGAATCGGTAAAAATGACATTTTCAGCTACCAATTTGCTGTGTCTTGGATCACCAGTTGTCATGCTATGATGAAACTTGAGCAACCCTATGAATGCCCACATGTTTAAAGTACCAAGATCACTTGCTAACTAGCAGCACTAACTTGCAAGACCTGTGAGCAAACAACCTTGGAAACACATCCTCCAGACTGTATAGCCTCAAAGTGTCAAATGTCTGTATCTTCAGCAAAGATCTTGATGCTAGCCTTATGAGAGACTCTGAGTTAGAACTAATTTTCTAAGCCTACCCCTAGATTTCTGACCCATAGAAATTATATGAGATGATAAGTATTTATTATTTCAAGCTGTCAAGTTTTGAGTAATTTATTATACAGCAATAGATAATTATTAGTGTCCCTTGAATTATTATGGTTTTTAAAATAAGTAATATAAAAATATATTTATTTAAATTTGTTCATTTCAAACTATAGTCATTAATTTTGGTCTAAATTATTTGAATGCATAAATATGTGTGCATTATTGATTAGACTGTGTAAAAATTATGAAAAACCAATGTTTGGTCCAAACTAAAAATGTGTTACGGACATTTCAACTTAATTTTATTTTATTCTTATGAGGGAACTAAAACTGGACTTTAGAAGTCAAGAAATCCTTATTTGATTCACTTTTTTTCTCTGTTCAGTTTTATGACCAGGGGAAAATAACTCCTTTGATCCTTGATTTCCTCATCTACATATCGAAGGAACTTCGAGTTGTAACAGTTTTGGAACATATTATTGAAAATTGAGAGGTTTTTACTCACTTGAGGAAGTTAAATGTAATTCCATCATAAAATTCATAAAGTAAGCTAAAAGAGACAATCTGTTTGTTTTATATCAAATTTTACATACAAAAAGGACTAATTTTCCTTAATCTATTAACCTATTATTTCACAACCATATTAATAAATTGCACCCATTTAATATTAAAATGAAACTATGTTACATAAAGAACTTAGTCAAGTTGTTTTATATATATGTTATATATATATGTGTGTGTGTATGTGTGTGTGTATATACATACATACATATATACAGAGAGAGCACACGTGTGTATTTGTTCATTTCCTAAAATAATAAATCAATTCACTTGAACTAGAAGTTATACTCTCTAAATCTTAAATGTCTATTTTAACTGAAAATTTTGATAATATTTTTAAATTTTTATATATTTTGATAATATATGCCATTTATTATTCACATAGTTGACTGAAAAAGGGTAAAACATTAAAGGCAATATTACCTGTAATTTCTCTTTTCATTGATAGACTTCTTGGACAGGAAGCATTTGTATGGCCCATATTAACTGATGAAATTCCCTGCTCACTTCTATACACATCCAAAATACTGCCAGATAACTTTAGGGAAAAAGAAAGAAAAGGTCAATTAATCCTACTGTGGACATGATATATTTGGTTGTATATTTTAAATTTGCCCCTTAAATTATAATATGTATTTTAATCTTAAATAAGAGTAAGTATATATTGACTTTAAAATCAATGTAGGATGCTTGTGGAAATGTTTTTAAAAAGTTATTTGCATTTAAGCAACAACAAAAAAAGAAATTAGCTTACTCATGAAAGAAAATTCTGACTCTAATTTACAAATACATAAAAGTTTGATCTAGCATATTAGCTGGATATAAATGAATAAGGTTAAATATATCACCTGGACAAAATTTAATATATATATTAGCAAAACTAGTGAGCATATCATAAATTAGGTATAACAGTTGAACATTTTGGAAACCTTAATACTATAAGTGCTCCCAACCACTCACAGTCAAGAAGTGTTTTACACTGTTAATTGAGAAACCTTCTTTTCTCACAGGAAGACATACTTTTTTTTCATTTTACACCTAATGTTCTAGGTTACTATAATTATTCCAGGCGGTAACAAAAAGTAGTCTAAAACTACTTTTACCTCTAGCAGACATAGGATACACCTAATTAGAGCAACACTACGACTCTTAAATTGCTGTCAGGTGCGGTTTTTCAGATACCTGTTTTCTATAAATTCAAAATTGTACCAACTTGTTATTTAAAATGTGCATATTGATTTGATCTCCCAAGAATATTAAATTTAAATAATATAATTTAATATTCATTATTCCAGAACAAGCTAAGTTCAAAATGTATGATTTGAACATTTGAAATATTTCCATTTTATGTATCTTTATTTCATTTATAGGCAGTAAACCAGAAACTGAATAAGTAGTAACTTTTTTTATTTCTTTAAGGACCACACACAACTAATCAAACAAAGCAACAACCAGTTTATTACTGAAACTAACTCCTTATTCCAACTTTTTGTAAAATTCTCATTCAAACTGAAGGAATTTTTTGATACTTATAAAATCAGACTGGAAATAAACATGAAGAAAATACACATGAAAATTAAATTAACTTCTGAATAATATCCATTAAACTGTATATAATAAATAGTGCATATTTCTCAGGGAAAAACTTTAAAAATACAATGCAAATCAGGCTAATCTATAAGTGCATATACATATTAATACAGACATTACAGAATGCATATGGTATTCTGATGTATATTTACAAATCTTAGTTCTTTTCATTATTTACTGCAACTTTTATCTTTATTTTATATAAACTCATTATTTTAAAATATATTTGTACTTCATATATCTTGGAAGGGAGCTACTTAAGTCAGGAAAGTCTCAATTTTCTCATCTGAAAAACAGGGACAAAGTGTATCATATTAGACAGATAACGAGGGTTAGTATCAGAACAATACAATTAGGAAGAAATTTTAAAAGCAGTTATTTCCATAACTTGTGAGTCATTTAGTCATATTTGTAAAAGTAAAAAGTTTCCAAGATTTTTTTGGAAAACAGTTTTGGTTTTATGCTGAGGTGTCACCATTCTAAATTATGCATCTCCACTGTGCCCTTGAGAAATAGAAAGTTTGTGCCAAAAAAATGGCAGGAAGTGAGTGGGGGAGAAAGGATAAAGGAACTAGGGAAAGGGCATTTTCTCTGAAAAGCTTGAATTCAGATGGATTTCAAAGCAGCAGCAGCAAATTGCAGAAATGTTTAAGAAGGAAAAGAACAGTATTACATATATACTGAAACAATAAAGTGATCGGTTCCTAATTACAGCATTTTGCAGGGTCCATATTACTTGGTCAAACTATACCCAATCAATGCATTTTTGCCTTAGAAATGGGGCTGAAATTCTGATAATGAATCTAATCTTGCTTCACCATAGGTATATGACATCTTCTACAGACCTTGGTTATTGTCTAATTTATGCACTAAAAGCACAATGATTAATATCCTATTTCATTTTATGCTGTAAGTACTACTCTGGTGCACAGAAATGGCTAATCACTTTTTGAATATCATTACACAATTTGTTTCAAAGTATCGCACACTTCATATAAAGTGCCTTTTCTCCATTAAAATATACATAAGTACACTGTTAGGGAAAATTTAAATGTTACATACACATATGAAGTGTCTTACAAAGCAAAATTATATTTAATATAATATATTATATTATAGTTTTCTCAAAATTATTAATTTAATTAACTTAGGCAATAAAGTCTAAGTGTTTATTTTATATGCTAGTTGGCAAATAGATATTTTATGAAGAAATATTTATTATTCTGGTTCAAAGTCCAGATTACATTTTTAGTAAAACCAAACCTTTAATGTGAAATAGAAGAACATATTATTACAAAAAACTCACAAATGTTAAATACATGTAAAATAATTTATTATAAAATATTTTCAACAAGGTAGAACATTCTTGTGAAGACTTCTTACTAGTAAAAAAATAAACTCACTATCTAAGAATTTGAGGAGCGAATTAATTAGCAGTGTTTTCTGTTGTCTAAATTTCTTCACCCTAGATTTTATTCACACTTGCACTACTGAGATCATAGAGATTGAAAAGGATAGGTATCTGATCTTCCCACATATACTTGCCTTTCACAGTAGCCAATATTCCCTGAAGAAAATGAATTCACAGATCAAAATATCATAACAGCATGCAGCATTAAAAATAACATCAGAAGAAAAAAATAAATAAATAAAATATCTCAGGAAACAAAGTTCTTAAATTAGCCATATAGATTCTTAAATAAATAAAGATACTTGTAATAATTTATAATATAATACAGCACAATTAAAATAAAAATCTCCAAAATGATCAAGCAAAAATAGGAAGTGTGGAAAATACAATACTTAAAAAACAAATCCGTAAAAGAAAAAAATAACATAATGGACACACTGAGAAAAGAATAAAGAAATTAGTAAATCATAAAACCAAATTCATCTTTCAGGAGGATGCATAAGTGGACCAATAACTAGAAGACATGAAATAATATATAATCAGTACAGAAGATAGAATTATTAGAATTAAATACATAGATTAGCATCTCAGAGGGAGAAAAATATAATGGGAAGGAAAAATATTTTAATAATAATGGAGATACATTTTTAAGAATCAATACTAAATAAAAATGTAAAGTCTTTCATCTTTTTTAATTTTATTTTTTGATTCTTAATTTTGATTTGAAAATCAAAGGGCCTAAGAATGACAACAAGCCTTGACCAGTGTGCCTCAGTTGGTAGGATGTCTTACTGCAAAGAGAAAGGTCACTAGGTCACTGATTCGATTCCTAGTCAGGGAACATCCCTGGGTTGCAGCTGGTCCCTGGTTGGGACAAGCGCGAGGGGCAATGGATTGATGTTTCTCTCACTCATCAATGTTTCTCTCCCTCTCTTTCTCTCTCCCTTCCTCTCTAAAAATAAATAAACTGAAACTTTAAAGAAAAAGAATGATAATGAAAAATGATAAGGAAAAACCTAAACCCAGACATATTTTATTAAAATTTATACATACACAATGATAAAGAAAAAATCAAAAGACTAGAAAAATATTATGTACAAAATAGTAAGAATCTTATTCACGTAAGATTTTTCAAAAGCGAAATTAGATGAATGAATAAAATGAATCAGTATTTTTTAAAAGTTGAAGATAGAGAACTTAAAACACAGTTTTATATCCAGCTCAAATGTAATTCACATATTAGACCATGATAAAAATATTCTTAGAGGCATTAAATACTTAAGAATGTTTACCCAAACAGACTAACATTGAAAACAGTTTTGTATGAAGTACCTAAATAGAAGGATATATTTAAATAATAACTTCAAAAATTATAACAAAATCACCACATATCTTAGTAAAGTAGTTGTGGTCTAAAAAAGATGAGAAGAACCAAGGTTAAAGATAAAGTGAAATAAACCAGTCAGAGAAAGACAAATGCCATATGATTTCACCAATATGTGTAATGTAATGAACAACCTGAACAAGAAAAATGGGGACAGACTGATAGATGGAGAGCAGATGACAACTACTATGGGGAGAAGTGAGGAAGTAGAGGGATTGAGCAAAAAGGACAAAGGAGTCATGGACATGAACAATATTGTGGTGCCTGCTGGGGTAGTAGAGTATAAGGGAACTAAATGGTAATGGAAAAAAATACAGTAAAGATTAAACAAAAAAAAATGTTCATTCTCACTGAAGAAGGTCGAAAATACACACTAGAGTATTTCAGCTGCTTTCAGGGTTCCCACCAGCTTAGTTGTAGGCATGTTTGCAAAGGGACAGCCTGTCTTGCAGTACATGCATGAGGAGCCTTTGAGAGCTGACATGCCTGAAAGCCGAATTTGTGAATAACTTCAAGGTTTAGGGACAGTGATGAAGTTATGGTGCGCTGAGAATCTACTTCCAATGGAGTCAGCTCCAGGGATACAAGGAGTGAAAAAGCATCACAGTTGGCCTGGGACTGATGAGTTTCCCAGGATGAGACTTAGAAGTCTTGATGCTAAAACAGGGAAAGTTCCAGGCAAACTTTGGCAAGCTGGACTTCCCAGGTTCTTAGTCCTTTGGTCCTAATAACAGATTGACACAAGAAAAAAATAGATTTAAGGCAGGCAAGCCTCAAAAACTTGTGCAAACAATAACCAAGTTTCATTGGTCCCTTGGTCTAAAAGATTCTGAGAAGCAAATGAAATTCTCCCACTATAGAAAAAAAAAGATAAAGTAAAATATATAACCATATAAATCAGTCTAGTAATACCAGTATGATTAGGTGGAGTAGTAAGGAACTTAAAGGATGTGAAAGGGTAAAAAAAAATACTAAGAAGAAACATTAAAATATTGGACACAAATAATAAAGATGAAACTGGTAAAAATATATCAATAATAACAATCAATGTAAACAGGTCAAACACCTCAGCTAAAAGGTTGACAGTCTGTGTAAGAACACAATATTTAGATATATGTAGCTTATAACAAACACACCTGCATAGTAACAGGAC